TCATTTTTGAAGTTCTGATTTTAGAATTCTTCTTTTTATCTGCTCTGAGCCTACTGAATGTGGAGTCTAAGAGAAGAAATGTCTTTATCTCAGTAAAGGTAAGAAGTATATAGTAAGTACTGGAAATAATTTTTAAGAAAAACTGTCTTCAGGCTGTCCAAGAAGATTTTGCCTATAAGTATTTCTCTACTTTTAAGTAAATTTTTTTTAAAAAAACCTGCTATAGCTGGGAAGGATGGTTGTAAAAGCCACCAAATTCAACCAAATATAATATTCATAATTTGAAATCAGACATGCCTGTAATCTGTTCATATATTATATAAAAAACAAGGTATCTAAGTTACCATTTGCAACAATCCAGAAAGAACCAAAATCTGTGAGGATTTAATATTGGCCTGTGAATGAAAAATGATTATTTTTGCCTTCACTAGTTTCAAAAGACTTAAGAGTGACTTTCTTAACAGGTTTCAATTTACAGAAACATTATCAATTGCACATAAACCTTACATAGTTATCAGGGAGCATCCCATTTATCAGTGGTCACTGCTGTACACACTGTTACTGAGTTATGTTGGTTGTGCTGGTTTCCTGGGAAATATCCCAGTTATGCAAGTTTGAAGGTTGAATGGTGTCCATTGTATGTACACTAATGTGAAATTCCATATGATAGGCAGAAAAGTCTCTTGATGTCTGAGTCAATCATTTCAATGTCTTTCAATGTCAATCATTTCAATGTCTGGGTCTTTCTTCTACTTCCCATGGTGTTATGAGGCTGAGACTTGGGGCTGAATCACTGTGCTGTTTCTGATGCCCTTTATGTACCATCTGCGCTTTTCTGCATTTGGAGAGGGACTGATTAGCTCGGAATTTTATGGTAACGGGTAGCAAAATGCCAGGTATTATGTTGTTTCCTCCAAGTTCTGCCAGTATGTTTTACCTGTCATTTCATGCAATACTACAGGCAAATGATTGTATTATTGTAAGTTTTCTGTGACTGGCAACTGTTATTGGCATCATATATCTAGGAACAGCTGTTGTTGTTTTATTAGAAAATACTCCAGTGATGCTTAGTGTTGAAGGAGCCAAGGCAGTATCAGCAGCATTGCCATTCCCTCTGTGGTTAGTATTGTTTAGCATTTGCTAACCTGCGTTAAAAAAATTTAGTTTTCCTAATCAGCCATTTCAAAGGAAATACATGGTTTAAAGAATATTCAGAGACCATGGACAAATGGCATTGTTTTAGCCCTATTCCCTCTGAACATTTGTGCACATTACCAAGTTAAAAAATTAAATCATAATATATAGCAGGCACAATCTGAGATTTTTGCAGAACATAAAGATGGCTATTAAAGATGTTCATCCACTCATCGAAGTTGAAAATTTCTGTCCCATCATTTTATATCAGAAAATGATGTTTAGATAAAAATGAAAATGTTGACTGCTGTGATCAATTTGGACATGATTTTTGTTAAGAAATGCAAAGATAGAAAAGCAACAATATTCTGTGATGTATTTGATTTGAAATTTAGTTTTGTTTGTAGTATTTTTACGTTTTATTACTCTTAGGTCCTCTTTTACATAGAAATAGCAATGATATGGTGAGTCAGTTATTGTTAGACTATGATGCATATCAAAGATATACATTAATTTATACGTCTTCCTTGACAACTTTTCCTTCTATGCTCTTTAGAACTAATTGTTAATTGCAGTCATTGAGATAATTTTAGACTATCTTTTCTAGAGACCTATCGTAGTAAATCACATACAAACTTAAGAAAATTTCTCTCTTCATGCAATGGTACTTGTAAGAGTATCTATTAGTAGCTCTGTTTGAATCAGAAGTGTTTATTAAATAGGAAGAGAAATAGCGATGTGAGGGAGTCTCACTGTTTTCAGACATTTTACTGTGACTGATTCTCATGCACTGCAGCTGAGAACAAAAATAATGATGTAATTTCATCAAAAAGAAAAAACAAAAAGCAATTACATATCCAGTGTTAACTGATATTTATTTTCAGGGGTGATGCTATTCCTTTGCATGCATTACAAAGTTGATGGCACACACTGGGAGAATTTTTTTTTTTTTTTTTTTTTTTTTTTTTAGCCCTGTCACTGTAGGAGAAAGGCAAGAAGTATGTAACTACATTTGGAGGACTGGAAAGTTTCTGTTGGAGGTGGGTGTAGCAGGGGTATTCCTGATGCCTTAGAACAAGAACATGAGAACTACTGGTATAACTGTTCTGTGTGTGTGAAGGGAAATTCTTGGCAGCAGCTGTGCTAATTTTTCTTGACTACAGCTATTAGAGTACACGTGCCTAAGAGGAAGAGTTGAACTGAACTTGGTAACGTTACTGCAATATGATCTGAACATTCTTAATGTACCTAGGGTACAGGAAATTTGTAGTCTATACATGACCAGGATTTTTTCATTACTTGATTTATTAATGAACCACTAAGTCTTTTTATAACTGGTTGAATGTTAGCTGAATTATCAGTTTCTAGCAGTTACCTGCAAGATGATCAATACTTGTTTATCATATTAAGCTACCAACAAAGAGAGAGATTGGTTTTGCAGGCATATCCTATAAATGATTAACTGGAGCTTCTTATCTAACAAAGATGATTTAAACAGCAGCAAAAGCTGAACTTTTTTTCATTTTAAATCTGTAGAAACTTGTTAGTTCGTGGTAGAGCTATGTTCTACTAGTTCATCTACATTTTTTATTGCTCCAAAACATGTAAAAATCCACATACTTTAAGGTATGAAAATACCCACTTTCCTCCCATTTACCCACCTCTGTAACTACTGCCACAAGCTCTCAGTTCTGGGGAACAAACTTCCTGAATGTAGTCTACAAAGTTTCTGTTTTGCTATACAGCTGAAATCGTGAGTCCACTGACTCCTTAGGTGAATGTATGTCAATATTGACTCCATGCATTATACCCAAATTTCTCTGGAATTTTTTCAGCACTACTGCTGCAGCTCCAGACATTAATTTCATTTTGTAGTTCACAAAGCACCTTTCCTATGGCAAATGTAGATTCTTTTAACACTTGTACCAGTAAAACAAGTGGTCTAACATCAAGAACACCAAACCTTTATATTTAGTCTTGAAATATTGGCTTAGAAGTGTCAGAGTTCACTAAGGGTAATTTTTTTTCAAAGTGTCAGCTTCTTCCTTGAAGCAGTACAGAAATTTTAAGCTGTTAAGAATATATCTGGCAATTTTGTATCAAATTATCCTGTAGTACTGCTCATAATCTCTTTATGCGGATGTTCTTTGCTCCTCCCTATGAGAAATCTTTGAAATACCTAGATACGGATGTACATGTATACATTTATTATACATATATGTACACATACACAGGAAGAAAGAATAGCATAGATTCTACCTTTGAAGTGCTTTTCTGGAGCATCAAGACTTCCCTCTGCTTGTCATACTGCTTACTGCAGAAACAAATGACTTGTGATTTATGCTTTCAGTATCTGGTGCATATTCATATTTCTGGCTTAGTTGCTGATAATTGCTGAAAAAGATATAAAACAAAATGCTTTGTTTTCATCCCTCACCCTGGTTGTTCCATGTCAGCAGTATTTCACCAAATGGCTGGTAGGATGAAAGGCTCCAGCTTTCTCACTCTCATTGGAGGCAGTGAGGAGGGCATTTTTGGGAGGTGCGTTGGTGTGAATTCAAATTGAATTGTATGGACTTTTGCAGAGTTGTCATATTTCTCACCCTTTTCCTCCAGTGTTACTTATCTAACCACTTCCCTGGCAAAGAGATGTGGAAGTTGCTTCCCTCTTGGTGAGGTAACACAGAAAGAGCATCTGGATGACAGCAACCCATCCTCCAGATCACGAGATCTGAGATGGGAGCTATGCAAAATCAGAAAGAAGTGACATGAGAGAGAATGTTCTGAAGACAGTCTATTAAAGCATTGATTCATACATGCTGCAGTTGCAAGCCAGAGGATGTATACATAGCAAATGGAAGCAATTTCTTTTTTGCTCCTTCTCAGGGCTTACTTCTCCCCATTCAAACACCTGTCCACCTCTTGCATTCAATCCCAGCCATGCTTGCAAAATTATGTCTAATGTATATGGTGCTGAGCAGCTAAATGTGCTTTTGTTTGAAAAGTTCCCAAAATCCAGCACTGGATTTTATCCCATCTTTGATTTAAGCAATCAGTGTACAGTCTTATGTTTTCCATCTGATCAGGTGTAACGGTTTCTGTTCCAGCTATGATAGAATTGCTCTTTTCAGCCCTTCTCCTGTCTCGACCATTCACAACGTTGGGTGCTGCCCCTTTGCACTCGGGATGCTCCTTTCCCCTGCTGATTCCGGTGACCTTTCTCTCTGCCAGGGCTGTAGCAGCTGAGCACGTCCTGAGCGCTCGTCCTGCTGGCTGGAAGCAGGGCTCCACTCTGCCAGGCGGGAACGTGCCAGGGCTTTCTCTTACATGTTAATTACATTTTTAATGCACTGCCTTAGCAAGTTGGATAAGCAGGGTCGGACACGTGTTTACTCCATGACTGAAAACCTCAATCAGGAGAATGCCATTAATCTTAATTCCAAATAAGGTAGGTTTTGAGTAAAGCTGTTACACGAGCGCTAGATTTTGGACTACTTTTGCCTCAGACAGCCTGCCCTGGTTCAGCCCAGCCCAAAAAGATACAAATATCTTCCAACATATAGCGCATCGATGTGAGTGCTGAAGGGCAGGGAATCCCGACACGCGTGGGGCTGACCTGGAGGTGGATGACAGGGAACCCCCGCGCTCCAGCAGGGCTGGAGCGCGGGTTAGAGGACATCCCTCCCCCTTGAGTCCCGCAGCCAGCGATGCCATGTGGCTCGCTGACGGACGAGGCGGCAGCTGAATATTTAGCAGCCTGTGACGACTTTGCACAGAAATACGAGGATTTATTGCCACGACGGGGCCGAGCCGCGCGCTCCTTCCGTGCACTCCCGCCCCATCTGCCGGCCCGGCCCTCCCTGCCTTGCGTGGGCTTGGCGCTCCGGCACGAAGGGCGCTTCGCTCCGGGCAGCCGCGCCGATGCCGGGCGAAGCCGCGCGGCGCTGCGCCCCTCTTACCGGTATGTGCGGCGGGCAGGGACGGCGGAGCGGGGCGGGAGGGAGCGAGGGAGGCGGCGCACCGACGAGTCGGGCCCCGCGCTGCCGAGCGGCAGCTCCGGGGCCGCGCAGCCGGGGCCGGGCGCTCCCCGAGGGCGGCGGGTGCCGCGGAAGTCCCCGCACGTCCTGAGGGCAGGCGGCCTGCAGAGGGCAACGCACCGCGGCGGGGAGGGCTGAAGGAGCGCGGGATGCGGAGGCGGCGGGCTGCGCTGCAGCCTGCGGTGTGTCTGTCTTGAAGTTACCGCCGGTACGTATGCTTTACCCCTGTGGCGTGTTAGAATCGCGTTTCTTCGAGACGGCTGGAAGGGGACCTGGCGAAATACAGGTAGAGAGAGGCAGCCGTGCTGTGTATGTGTGTGTGTGTGTCCGTAGTACCTGCCGTTCTGCCGTTTAACTTCAGGGGTGACGTGCAGATGGGATTGCATGGTGATTGCGGGCAGATCTTTAGCTCAACTCACATCTGTGTGCCGTGCTGCTCAGAAAGCATGCCATGTGAGACTGTACATGAAGAACTTGATATACGAATAGCAATTCCTGTTTTTTTTTTTTTTTTCTCTTTTTTTCTTTTTCCTTTTTCTCCCTATATCTGTAATATTGTGTGAAAACTGAGGGCTGAAATTGCAGCAGGAAGATCTTCTTGCAGATGTACCCCGAGCTGTTTGTTAAAGCTTAAGCAGTGACCCAACTTTACTTTGTGTAAAGGACACTGTAAATAATGCAGAGCCAGAAATAAATCTCCATCTCCTCCCAGTCCACCCCCATGGTATCCTTATTAGTGAACAAAAACTACCGTGTACCTTTTATTCACACAACGTTTTCCCCCATTGCACTGCCAGTGGTCTGGAACTGAGTGTTTCTGCAAGCCAGGAGCTTTCTACAAGCTCAGTGTGCCTTCCATAGCATGCATCTTTGAAGCCAAAGTAGTCCTGTACATCTGTGTGTGCATGTGTGTGCCTGTGAGAGTCTGTTCTGTGTATGCGAGTAAGCAGATACACAGTGGAGAGGGTATAGAAGCCAATGAGATGTGGCAAATGTATACCCCTGCATGTATTTGTCTGAGCTGGTCGCTGTGAAGCACTATGAGCATTTCTTATATTTTAATGTAGTTCATCATTCAAATCAGGGCTTAGGAGAAATCCAATTTCATGAGCATCGATACCCCATTAGTTTTTCGTGATCAAAAGACGTATGATGGAGAACACAAGTAAAATTATGACTTGAAATTAGCATGGATGATAAAATCAGCTTTTATTTTTCATTCCAAGACACTGACCATAGCTCATGTGTTTCCAGAGCTTTACTCCTTTGCTGCAGTCAATCATATACAGTTGTGTGAAAACACTGAAGCCTTCCATCTGCAATAGTTGTGCTCTTCCTCGATAATAGTAAATGCTTATCTTCAGGGGAAATATTCATTTGAAGTTTAGCATATGTTTGGTGTTTTGCTCAGCTTTACAGGTAAGGAGTCTGATTTATGGAAATAAACCGAAGGCTTCCCTAACTAGTCCCCTGCCTTTCACAGCACATTTCATTTCAGACTTTTCTAAAGAAGACATGGTACATTATAGCTAGCTAATGCAAAATAAGGTGTGGCTCTCTTAGATATGGACCTATGGAAGTAGTGCAATACTTATCTTCTGTATCTAGTTAAAGTTACTAACAATCCTACCTAAGGAATCCAATAGAGAATTTTAGTTCATATCTACTTGAAATAGAAACAAGAAGGGAAAAGCAAAAACAAACAAAACTCTAACGCACTCTTCTGTTGCTCCCTCCAGAAAAGGCAGTGTCTCAGACAGCACCCCTTCCTTCAAACAGAAGTAGATCCAGTATATAAGCATGGCTTAGGGGGCACTGTGTTGCTGACTGAACCATTTCCAGATGAAGTTCAAAATTAAATTCTGTCCATTTGTCTGTACTAAGAATCCCATAAAGCTTCACCAGGATCAGAGTGCTGACCCTGCTGGTAAGATAAAATACCAGCAGAAGTTTTTATACTTTAGCCAGTTTAATTCCCAAGACAGTTTAATTCTTTGCTTCCTAAATATTGCTGTATGGTGTTTTTGCCCTGCAGTGCAGAGACTCTTAACTCACTGCCTCTGTGCATGCAGTGCTATTGCTTAGGAACTAGTTCTGGTGAACACAAGTAGTGTTTTAAAACAACTTGGGAGAAGTGTCTTCAACATTCAAAATGCATGAGTGTGTGTGTGCGTGCCAGAAGTACAGCTGTTCTTGCACTATACTGCCTTCCCCATGATGTGTAATATTTACATGATATCCTTCAGAAAAGTCTCTGAAAGTCTGAATGTAATCACAAAATTATTTAAAAACAATCATTTTGTCTCTTAACTCTGCTTTACTTTATTTACTGTTTTTGATAAGGACTTGGAATTTGCCATCATCTAGAAATAAACACCTTTGAAATGTGAGTTGTTAGTTCTAAACATGATTGTGTCGTAGACTTCAGCTGAGATCTCAATCTGATAAATGCAATTTGAAGGGTATGAAAGATTCTGTGAAGTGTCTGGAAGCTCCTGTTCCAGTTAAGAACTACAGTTCTGTTACGGCAAGTAGTGCTGCAAATTATCAATGTTATCGGATTGAATCAAACCAGCTAAATACCAGTGAGTCATCTTTTCCATGCAGATGAACATGAGCTCCTCCTCAGACAGATAACAGCTAGTTAGCTCTGGAAGATCTGCCTGAAATGCAGGCCTAAGCTAAATTGGCCATTGTGACCCACTGTGGTTCAGCTTGCTTGTAGGCAATGTAAAATAAAGGTGGCAGCTGATATGACAAAAAGGGAGGAAACACAGAGGGGGGAAAAAAAAATCAATGTAAATAGATTCTATTCATAGAGGAGATTCTGTTCTTCTTCCGGAGGAAAGAGGTATATATGTGAAGGTCATAAGCATAAATAATGTGGAAAACTGAAAATTGCCTATGAAGATTTATGTAATCCAGCACATAAGTCTCACTAGTATTTGTTCGGAGATTACAATAGAAAACCTTTTCCTTGGTCAGCAGTGTTCTAGTTGAAAGAGAGTACAGTCCAGTGGATCAGGATGTGCTGCTTTAGTGTCATGACTTACCTGATAAGCAATCTTAGACAAGTCCCTGAAGCAGTTAGTAATGTATAAAACGAACAGCACTCAGTAATGTGTAAAACGAATGCTGACATGATAACTACAGAACAAACACTGTGTAGTATTGTTTCAAAGGAACATTGCAGATCCAATGCTGCAGTGTTAGTGTGTTCATTACTCTTTAAAGTCAGTTTCCATTATAAACACGGTTCTGCTTTTCATTTCCAACAAAAGAAGTTACATAGAACCTAGAAGTTCAATTCAGGAATTGGCATAGAATTTTTAAGAAGTTCCTCAAGTGGGAGCCAAAAAAACATTTCTCCCTTAAGGGAGAAGGAGGGCTGACAGAATAATTATTATTTTTCCTCCAAAATCAGAAGCAAACTGCTGATCTTAAGATGCTTTGAGCAGTGTATCATTATTATTTATTTATTTTTGGCTCTGTATGCAAGGGATAAACAATTTGGTGATGTTTGCACAAATATGAAAATATTGCTGAAAAGATATTTAAGAGTTTCCTAAGGGTTTGTTTGTTTGTTTGTTTGTTTGTTTGTTTTAATTAAAAGCCCAACACCTGACTCCCCATTCTTTTGTAACCTGCTTGCTTCTTTTAAACAGGTATTCTTCCAAGGTGGCATATACTTAGGTCACATATATATTTCCCATCCTGACTCCACTTTGCCTAAGTTTCGGTACAATTTAATTAGTGCTTATATGGACAACTTTTAAATGATGTTTATGCAGTGTTGTATTAAAATATACCCAAACCAGCTCAGATTCTGGTTGCATTTCTACATTGGGACTGCAGGGGCCGGTGAGATTTTTTGTTTTATGTTGAGATAGCTTCATTTTAAAACCCACTGTGTTTGGTTTAGAACTTCTAGGCATATAAGATAATTAAAGCAGTAAGGATCAAGAAAAGGTATTGTTTTATTCTTTTATGATGGTAGTGTAAGTAATAGGGACTAGTTAGCCAGTTTTATTTGAGAACTGATGCTGTGCAGTTTGTGATACGAAATGATTGTTGTTTGAGACTCACAAAAAAGGGCATAGTCTGTCATACAGCGAATGTATCCAACAGTGTATATGAGAGCAAACCTTTAGAGTAGTTTCCAAACGAGATTGGTCACGTTGTGTCAGTGTAGCAGATAGGAAGCCAATGTCAGGGCCTCTTGCTCCTCAGGAAGGTTGCCAGAGGTAGAACATGTCTGCTACATCCTCATCCAGCTCTTCACAGGGTGCGGGGGACCTGACATTGTAGATTGGCTTCAGGTTTGTGATGGAGTCTTCTGCTTGGGTGTTTGAGCTTGTGTAGTGAAGCCTGCTCTCCCTGCTGGTGATAACAAGTAGCTTGAACCAAAGTTCGTATCTAGGTGCAGGGGGTATAAATACTGCCTGCCTATCATATCTTCTCTTTCTGTATTCCTGTGGGAAACAATTTCCTGTTTTGTTGGCTACCTTTCTTGGTATTTCACAGTGTACAATGCACTGTATTATCTCACAATTAAGAATTATTAAGATCTTACAGACACATTTATGGATTCGTGTAAAAATATGCACCCCCATGTTCATTTGAGAGGATACAGAAGAGTGAAAACCAGCTTGGTGCTGTTCAAAAGCATATTAAAGTTCCTGATCAAATTATCTACAATGAGCTATTCTTTGACCCATCTGCTTATTTTCACAGATGTAAATGTGCACTTCCATAATTACATTAAATGATTTATTTTGAATAATATTCTATGATTAGATCACTTAATCTAATGACTAATATATTGTTACACAAGAGTTAGTTTTACATTTGGATTTGAATTCTGTTTAATTCACATTTCATACGGTGGGAAAGCTATGAATGAAAATCTTTTTGTTCTTTCCTT